TTTTTTTTTGTACCGGAGATAGAACTCAGGACCCTGCGCCCTCAAGGCAGGCATCGGAACCACTGAGCTAAATCCTCAGCTGTTTTTACTCTTTATTTTGAGTCAGTGTCTTGCTAAGTCACTAAATTGCCCAGAGTTAGCTCAAACTTACAATCCTTCTGCCTTGCCTCCCAGAGTGCTGGGATTACAGATGTGTGCCACCATGCCTGGCTAAGAAATCATTTTTGATCACAGTTACAGATGATTTTCATTTTAAGAAAAAAAAAAACTGATACTCTTTGAGTTTGTAGTATATGTGTAGCACTTGGGGCTTAACATATATTAACATCGTTTAATCTTTAGAGTAATTCTGTAAAGTAGTTTTGTTAGTATTTATATTCTGTAGATGAGGAACCTAAAGCACAGAGAGGTCAAATTGCCCAGTATCACTGGGCCATGAGTCACAGAGCTAGGAATCTGACCCATACCCCCGAGGTGGAACTCGTGTTCTTTAAAATGGGAGCATCAGGCCATGAGGAGGGGGAGTCCTGCTTGAGTGTGAGGTTACTGTATTTAAGCCCTGCGCTGCCTTAGTACTGAGTGTGTGCACATGCGTGCATATAGTGCGTGAGATACTAGGGACTGAACCTAGGGCTTCCTTCCTGCTAGGCAAGCACTCTACCACTGAGCTACAACCCCAGTCCTTTTTTAAAAAAAAAAATTGTTTGACACAGAGGCTCCCTGAATTTCCCAGGCTGGCCTCGAGCTCTAGATCCCTCCACCTCAGCTTCCCAAGTGGCTGGGTTACAGGTGTGCACCGCCTCCTGGTTTACCTAAGCCCTCTGGGCTGTGAGTGGGAACCCCACCCAGCTGCTCCCTTAGCTGTGGAACTGGACGCCTCAGTAAATCTCTCTGATGTTCAGTCAGATCACATCTCTTTTTTCTTTTCTCTTTTTTTTAAATGCTGAGGATTGAATCCCAGGCCTCATGCAATAGCATGCTCTCCCACTGAGCCCCAGCCTGAGTAGCATTCCTGACATTTGTTTTTTGTTTTCAGACATGCATTTTGAATGAGTAATAATGGCATGTGATGCTGCTAAGCCCATAAAGTAGACATTTATTTAGCCTGTCTCTCAACATAAATGCTTTGTATTTACTAACTCTCCTACTCCCATGTGAGTATTCATTTCTAACTTTTCAGACTGCTTTATTCAATATTATTTATTAGAAACTTTGATCATATCATGTCAGATGTAGTAGAAGTATTTAAAATGTTCTGCCATCCCTATAACAAAACCACTTTCTACATACTGCCAGATCTGACTTCTAATAGTTTGTTTTGTTAAACAAATTTCTATCTATGTTCATACTTTTTTCTTCTA